TTGAATTTCTGGTAATTCCCTGTCGATGTACTGCTGCAACCATTTTTGAATTATCTTCAGCAAAATTTAACTTGCATGTGATATTAATGATACTGTTCAATAATTTCTGCATTCTGTTGGATCACCTTTCTTTGGAATGGGCACAGATAAGGATCGCTTCCAGTCGGCTGGCCAGGTAGCTGTCTTCCAAATTTTTTGGCATAGATGAGTGAGCGCTTCCAGTGTTGCATCTGTCTGTTGAAACGTCTCAATTGGTATTCCATCATTTTCTGGAGCCTTGTTTTTCACTGATGCCTTCAGTGCATCTTAAGCTTCTTCCTTTAATACCATCAGTTCTTGGTCATCTGCTACCTCCTGAAATGATTGAATGTCGACCAATTCTTTTTGATACAGTGATTCTGTGTATTCCTTCCATCTTCTTTGATGCTTCCTGCATCTTCTTTGATTCTTCCTGCTTCGTTCAGTATTTTCCCCATAGAATCCTTCAGTTTTGCAACTCAAGACCTGAATTTTTCGTTAGTTCTTTTAGCTTGAGAAATACTGAGCGTTTTCTTCTCTTTTGGTTTCCTAACTCCAGGTCTTTGCACATTTCATTATAATACTTTACTTTGTCTTCTTGAGCTGTCCTTTGAAATCTTCTAGTCGGCTCTTTTACTTCATCATTTCTTCTGTTCGCTTTAGCTACTTTACATTCAAGAGCAAGTTTCAGAGTTTCTTCTGACATCCATTTTGGTGGTTTCTTTCTTTCCTGTTTTTTAGTAACCTTTGCTTTCTTCATGTATGATGTCCTTGATGTCATCTCATAACTTGTCTGGTCTTTGCGTCAAATCCATTCTCAAGATGCTCTCTAAAGTCAGGTGGGATATAGTCAAGGTTGTACTTTGGTTCTTGTGGACTTGTTTTAATTTTCTTCAGCTTCACCTTGAACTTACACGTGAGCAATTGATGCTGTGTTCTGCAGTTGGCCCCTGGCCTTGTTCTGACTGATGATATGGAGCTTCTCCATCATCTCTTTCCACAGATGTAGTCGATTTGATTCCTGTGTATTCCATCTGGCAAGGTCCATGTGTGTAGTCACCATTTATGTTGTTGAAACAAGGTATTTGCAATGAATAAGTTGTTGGTCTTGCAAAGTTCTGTCATATGATCTCCTGCCAATGCCATTTTTTCCAACTACTGATCCTTCTTTGTTTCCAGATGTTGAATTCCAATCACCAGTATTTATCAATCATCTTGATTACATGTTTGATCAATTTTAGACTGCAGAAGTTGGTAAAAATGTTCAATTTCTGCATCTTTGGCACTAGTAATTGGTGCATAAATTTGAATGGTAGTTGTATTAACTAATTGGTCTTCCTTGTATGTTATGGATATTATCCTATCACAAACAGAGATGTACTTCAGGATAGATCTTGAAACGTTCTTTTTGCCGATAAATGCAACACCATTCCTCTTCAGTTTGTCATTCCCGACACAGTAGACCAGATGATTTTCTGATTAAAAATGGCCAATGGCCAATGGCCAATAGCAGTCTGTTTCAGCTCACTGATGCCTAAGATACCGATCTTTATGCATTCCGTTTCATTTTTGACAACTTCAGTTTTCCTAGATTCATATTTCATACATTCCACGTTCCAGTTATTAATGGATGTTTGCAGCTGTTTCTTCTCATTTTGAGTCGTGCCACATCAGCAAACAAAGGTCCTGAAAGCTTGACTCCATCCACATCATTAAGGTCAGCTCTTCTTTGAGGAGTCAGCTCTTCCCTAATCGTCTTTTGAGTGCCTTCCAACCTGAGGGGCTCATCTTCTGGCATTATACCAGACAGTGTTCTGCTGCTTTTCATAAGGTTTTCATTGGACAGTTCTTTTTTTTTTTTTTTTAGAAGTAGCTCTGAAACCTGTCCACCATGGGTGACCCTGCTGGTATTTGAAATACCGGTGGTGTAGCTTCCAGCATCACAGAAGCACACAAGCCACCACAGTACAACAAACTGACAGACTAGTCGTGGTTCCAAGGCTTAGGTTGGTTAAACTCCCTGCAGCCACATGGAAAGGTGTGTATTTCCCTCAGGTTGAAACCCAAAACCAAAAATAATGAGGTCGAGACGCCAGAAATCGATGCCTGTCTTTGCCCATTATTCCCATGGCAACTGTGACTTCACCAGAGCCCAAAGAAAGGGCTCAAAGTGAGGAGGGAAACTGGACAGGCTTCTGTTTATGGAAGTCATCGAGGGGAGTGATAAGCAGGACCTTCCCCCCTCCTCGGCTGGGCAGTTCGTGCTGACACCTGTCGGGTGCTTCTGGAACAGACTCTATGAGGATACCCACGGTCAGCCTGGGAAGGCCAAAGCTAAGAGCAGCTCACCCAGCGTGCACAGGGCTACCCCAGCTCTGAGCTGCCACCACCTGGGGTGTTTTTGAAAGTTACTTTAGGAGTCCTCAGAAATCATTCCCTCTCCCAGTTTATTGTGGCAGAGGAGTCTCACCTAAGCTGAGCACGGAGTCCTCGCTCTGGTTATTTAGGTGCCTAAAGAGGAGACCCAGAGCTGGAAGGTTGCCTTCCTAATCCCTCTGCTTTCAGTCAGGCAGGGCAGGAGTGTGTGAGTGTATGAATGTGTAAGTGTAGTGTGTGAATGTTTGTGAGCGTGTGAACATATGTGAGCATGAATGTATGTAGTATGCAAACGTGTGTGCACATGCGTGTGTGTGAGCCTGAATGTGTGTGGGTGGGCAAATGTGTGTGCAGATACATGAGCGTGAGTTGTGTGTGAGCTTGTGAATTGTGTGTGAGCATGTGAATGTGTGCATGTGCATATACATATATGTGTGTGAGCATGTGAATGTGTGCACATGCATGTGTGCATGTGTGAACATGCATATGTGTGTGCATGCATGTGAATGTGTGTGCACGTGTATGTGTGCATGTGCATATACATATATGTGTGTGTGAATGTGTATGTGTGCACGCACACCTGCATTTTGACTTTGATTTCCTAGAAACTCTTCATTAGATGAACCTGGTGCGTGATTTATAAACCTCTTCCTATCTGTGTGACTTTGGGCCAGTCTTAACGTTTCCATCTCTAGAATGGGGATAAGATGGTACCTGCTCTATGGGACTGATGAGAGGGTTATGTCAGCCAAGGCTTACCAAGAGTTAGGCACAATGCCTGGCGCACAGGAAGTGCTCTGGTAATATCGGCAGCTGTTTCATGACTGTGTGTAATGTATTTTTTTTTAAAAGACCTTACTGAAATATAATTCACATACGTGCCATTCACTCATTTAAGGTGTACAATTCAATTTTCTTTTTTTTAGTATATTCACATGGCTGTGCAACCAGCAGCACAATCTAGTTTTAGAACATTTTTGTTCCCCCCAAAAGAAACCCTGTACCCATTGGCAGTCTCTTCCCCTTATCCTCCCACCTGCACCCCAGCTCTGGGCAACCACTGTTGTATTTTCTGTCTCTGTGGATTTGCCTGTTCTGGACCTGTCATATAAATGGAACCCTACAACGGGTGGCCTTTGTGACTGCCTTCTTTCACTTAACATAATGTTTTCAAGGTAATGTAGCTTTAGTAGTTTTTCTTCAGGTGTCCTTGTTTAGTTATAAAATTTTTTATCATCATTTCTTACCAGATTACGTGTTGTTTTAAATCTGTGGGTTACAGCATTGTCTGCGGTCATACAAGGGAGGAGGTGTGGGGTGGCAGTGAAAAACAAACACCATACAAAGCCTAACGTTTCCTCTCAGACATCCTGCGTTCAAACCCTGCATCTGCCTCTTTCAAGGTTAGTAACCTCGAGCATGTTTCCTGTCCCCTCTGCGCCTCAGTTTGCTCTTCTGTAAAATGAGAATGTGACAGCCTTCGTTTAAAAAAAAAAAACTATTGCCGTCAAGTCAATTCCAACTCATAGCGACCCTATAGGACAGGGTTGAACTGCCCCATAGGGTTTCCAAGGAGCGGCTGGTGGATTCAAACTGCCAGCCTTTTGGTTAGCAGCTGAGCTCAACCACTGCACCAGCAGGCATCCACTTCCTTCATAGGGCCATGGAAAGGATTAAGTAAGAACATGTCTGCCTGGGACATTAATTACAGTATTTCTGAAATGCTTGGGTTGTTCCATCTGAGATCATGTCATGTGTTTGAAGTTTATCATATGATTAATAAATATACATCGTGTATTAGAGAAAAATAACAAAATATAGATTAATCTAAAGCAAAAATAAAGGTCAATTGCAGACTTGACAGATAGTCGCTTTTATTATTTTGGGGAAAATCATTCTAGGTTTTTAAAACATTGCTTATGTGCATATGTATCTATTTGTATTTTTCCCCAACATAGAATCATGCTGTTTTTGTAGCAGAGTGTTTTTATACAAAATTATATGGGGAACGTATTGTCACGTCAAGTATACAACTGTCACCTTTAAAGGCAGCATGCTTCTTGATAGATAGACACGCCACAAAGTATTTGACCAATCTGTCTTTGATGGACGCTTAGACTGGGTCCAGTTTGTAGCTATTATACAAAAAAGAGCAGGAGTGGCAGTATTAATCTCTGACAAAATAGACTTTAATGTAGCTTTTATAACACACTTATGTATTCATATTTTTTTACCTATTGGTTTTTTTTTTTTCAGGATAAATTCCTGCCACGTGGACTTACTGAATTTTTTAAATAAAATCTTTTTTCCTAATTTTTATTAATTTTGTTGATGCTGTTGAGAACAGCAAAACATACACCCAATTCAGCAGTTTCTACATGTACAATTTAGTAACCTTAATTGTATTCTTTGAGTTGTGCAACCATTCTCACCCTCCTTTTCTGGGTTGTTCCTCCCTCGTTAACATAAACTCACTTGCCCCCTAAAGTTCCCCTCTAATCTTTCGAGTTGCTGTTGCCAATTTGATCCCATACATAGTTCTTAAAAGAGCATAGTGCTCAAGGCAGACTTTTTTTTTTTTTAACTTGTAAAGCTAAACTATTGTTCAGTTTAAGATGACTTCAGGGGATATTTTTGGTTTAAGGATAAATAAACTTTTTATTGAAATATAAGATACATACAGAAAAGTGTGTCACTCATGAGCGTACAGCTCAGTGAACTTTCTCGAACACACTTGTGTTACCTGCACCTGGATCAAGAAATAGAATATTCACAGTACCCAGAAGCTCCCCTCATGTCCCATTCAACTTACTCTTCCCCACTCAAGGGCAACCACTATCCTGACTTCTAACTCCAAAGATGACTTTTGCCTGTGTTTGAGCTTTGCGTAAATGCCATCATGAAGTGTGTGCTATTTCAATTCTGGCTTCTGTCACACATTATTATGTTTGTGAGGCTCACCCAAGTAATTGCATATATCGTTTGTTCCTTTCCATTGTTGTATACTGTTCCATTGTGTGAATATACCACGATTTGTTTATCTGTTCTGCCACTGATGAGCATTTGGGCACTTTACAGTTTAGGACTGTCACAAATAATGCTGCCATCTATATCCTCGGACACATCTTTCGGTGAGCAGAAGTATGCATTTCTGTTGGGTACATACCTAGGAGTGGAATTGCTGGGCTATCTGTATGTCAGTGTCCTTGCTGAGATAGATAAATAGGTACCATTGAGTAGACTCCAACTCATGGCAACCGTATGTACAACAGAAGGAAACATTGCTCAGTCCTACATTATCCTCAGCAATCACCAGCATGTTCAAGTCCATCGTTCCAGTTATTGTGCCAGTACTTCTCACCGAGGGTGTCCTTTGCCCTCACTGGCCCTCCACTTCACCAAACATGATGTCCTCCTCCAGAAATTGTTCCCTTCTGACGATGTGTCCAAAGCAAGTGAGTCAAACAGTGTTTTCTTGTGATCCATAAGATTTTCACTGGCTGAATTTTGGAAGTTGATTGCCAGTCCTTTTTTCCTAGTCTGCCTTAGTCTGGAAGCGCTGCTGAAATCTTTCCAACATGGATGACACTACTGGTATTTGAAATATGGGTGGCATAGCTTACAATGTCATGCAAGCCATCACAGTACAACAAACTGACAGATGGGTGATGGTACTGACCTAGAGGAGATATATACAGCCCTATTATCTACCAGGAAGGTTGTAATTGCCCCAGTGGTTATCTGACCCTTCCAGGTGTCATTTTCCACATCTAAAAGTGGGCATTAATGCCACGCCCCCTCCCAGGGTGTCATGAGGGAGAGATGCACTAATGCGTGGAAGCGGGCCCTGTGAGGCACAGGACAGGTTGGCAGTCATAATGAGTATTTCCTACTGCTAGGGAGGACTGGTGGCACAGTGGTTAAGTGATAAGGCTGCTAATGAAAAGATCAGCAGTTCAAATCCCCAGCTGTTCCTTGGAAACCCTATGGGGCAGTTCTCCTCTGTCTTCTAGGGCCGCTATGGGTTGGAATTGACTCGACGGCAATCAATTTGGTGTGGTTTGGGTTTTAGGGAGACCTGGAAGGAGACCTGGTTGCCCAGTGGTTAAGCGCTTAGATGCTAACCGAAAGGTCAGCAGTTCGAACCCATCAGCCGTTCAGTAGGAGAAAGATGTGGCAATCTGCTTCTGTAAAGATTTACAGCCTTGGAAACTCTATGGAGCAGTTCTACTCTGTCCTATAGGGTTGTTATGAGTTGGAATTGACTCAATGGCAATGGGTTTTGGTTTAGAGAGACCTGAGAATTCTGAGCTATAGATTCTTGAAGAGATCACAGCATGAGCCTGAGGCAAAAAAAGTGGGCAGAAGGTGAAGTGGCCAGTTGGTCCGAGAAATTGGCTGCCTGAAGATTAAGAGCTGCAGCTGCTAATGAAAAGGTCGGCAGTTCGAATCCACCAGCTGCTCCTTGGAAACCCTATGGAGCAGTTCTTCTCTGTCCTATAGAGTCACTATGAGTTGGAATCGACTCGGCAGCAGTGGGTTTTTGGTTTATAATAAGAGGAGAAAGCTGCCTAAGGACTGAAAAATGCTGAGGGTCCTGTGGCAGGAGATAGCAGTTTGCCAGCCCAGCTACTGTTTTGGGAAGTTTTTTCTGAGCTGGATATTGTCCCCAAGAATCAGACCTCAGGATCTCAAACACCAAGATATTTGGGACAAATAGGCAGTATTACATAGCAGTTAAGGGCAGGCTTTGGAGTCAGACAGACTTGGGATTGAGTCCCAGCTCTGCCACCTATCTGTGTGCTCTTGAGAAAGTGACGTAACTTTCTAGGCTGTAGTTTTCAAATCCAGAAAACAGAGATAATAGTACAGTGAAAACTGTGAGAGCCAGAACTCGAAGGGACTGCCTTGTTTTTCCAGATCTTGCAAGGTTTCCACCTTCTATCGCTTTCTGTTAGTGGAGAATATTTGAGTTTTCCTTCTCTGAAAGATTCCTGCCTTATATAGCGTCTTAGTTAGCTAGTGCTGCAATAACAGAAATACTACAAGTGAATGGCTTTAACAAAGAGATACTCATTCTCTCACAGTTTAGGAAAGGCTAGAAGTCCAAATTCAGGGCGCCAGCTATAGGCAAAGGCTTGCTTTCTTTGTTGGCTCTAGAGGAAGGTCCTTGTCATCAATCTCCCCCGGTCTAGTACAGTGTAATCCGTAATCCAGTAGATTGAGTCCTGCCTCATTAACGTAACTGCCTCTAATCCTGCCCCATTAACATCAGAGAGGTTAGAATTTGCAGCACGTAGGAAAATCACATCAGATCACAAAATGGTGAACAATCACACAATTCTGGGAATCATGGCCTAGCTAAATAAACACACGTTTGGGGGGGACAATTCAATCCGTAATATACAGGTTCCAGCTTTTGCAGGTTTTACTGTATCTACTCACTCATAGGGCTGTTTTGAGGATGAAGTGAGAAGGTGCATGTAAGTGTTTAGCATTTGTGCTTGTCATAAAATATGCATGCATGTGTGGCTGTAACCCTTATTAAATCTGGAACCCCCAAGGTCCACTCTTGAAGTGGCTGTGTGGAAGAAACATGGCCCAGCAGGCAAAAATAATAATTAAAACCAAAAACTCCTATACTTAGATTTTTCTAAACTTGTCAGGGGAATCCAAATATGTCATCCATAGCAACAAGTATCAAAATTCTATTTCTTTTCCTTCTGCTTCCTCACACCACGAATTTCTCTGTGTATTTCTCACAGCGGGTCTCCGACATCACTCCCAACACCACCCTGAGACACTTTTCTCCCCTTCCTTATTCATCCATCTCTTAATTATGTGACCATACAAAGCCTCTTCCTCAGCTGGAGACAAACTCATCTTTAGGAGTGGGAGAGGGGAAAGTCGGACAGGCAGATATAAGATCGACTTCAGTGGATGGGGGAGAGAAAAGGTTGAGAACACAGCCTGGTTCACGTTTGCCCTGTCTCAGGAACTGCTGTTATTAATAATAGTTGCATTATTGTTCAGGGAGTTGGAACTAATAACCCAGAGCTGCATTACCAGAAAGAATCTAAAACCTTTTCTTCGCTTTCCATCCGGAGCTCCATTTTGCCATAGTGCATGATGTCATGAAAATTATTGAAGCAGGGGTGGGGGAATGTAATAGGAGGGTTGAGGAGGGAAGAGGCAGAATGCCTCCAGTCTCGCTCTGATAGGTCCAAGTTGATGATCACTGATGTTTTTCTTTCTTTCCCCTACTTCTCAGTCTCATCGGACCAGATCGAGCAGCTCCATCGGAGGTTTAAGCAGCTGAGTGGAGAGCAGCCCACAATTCGGTAAGATCTGCTACTGGGTTTGAGTCCTGGGAGGATCCAAGACCCTTGGGGATTTCTCTTTCCCTGAGTGGGGCGGGGAGGAGCCCTCATGGCGCAGTGGTTAAGCACTTGACTGCTAACCCAGAGGTTGGTGGTTTAAAGCCACCAGCTGCTCCTCGGGAGAAAGATACGGCAGTCTGCTTCCGTAAAGATTACAGCCTTGGAAACTCTGTGGGCAGTTCTACTCTGTCCTATAGGGTCGCGATGAGTCTGAATGGACTCGATCAAGGGGTTTGGTTTGGTTTTTTGGAGGGTGGGGGGCTTTGGAAGAACCCCTGGGTTGCCCCTTTTCCTCAGGCAAACCTGTAATTTGGGGTTGTTGTTGTTTTGAGTAGACTAAATTTTTTTAGAGCAATTTCAGGTTTTCAGAAAAAATGAACAGCAAGTACAGAGTTTCCACATGCCCCTCTTCCCCACACACAGTTTCCCCTCTTATTCACATCTTGCAATAACGTGGTGCATTTGTTATAATTGAGGAGCCAACACCGATACATGATTATTAACTGAAGTTCACAGTTCACACTAGGATTCATTCTTTGTGTTGTATAGTTTTATGGGTCCCCCTATTCATTCCTCTCTCTCTCCTCCACCCTCAGCCCCAGGCAACCACTGATCTTTTCAGTGTCTCCACAGTTTTGCCTTTTCCAGAATGTCATTTAGTTGGACTCGTTACAGCATGTAGCCCTTTCAGACTGATTTCTTTCGTTTTGCAGTATGCACTTAAGGTTCTTCTGTGTCTTTTTGTGGCTTGACAGCTCATTTATTTTAATTGCTGAATAATATTCCATCGTATGGATGTAGCACAGCTTATTTATCTTGTTAAAACACAGAGTTTGATTCAGCAAATCTGGTGGGGCCCCACACTCTGCGTTTCCAACATGCGGCAAATGTCAGGCATGCTGCAGGTCCACGGGCCGCACCATGAGTCTCGAGGCCCCAAGGTGGCGAGCACAGCACCTGGAATGCAGTAATGCCCAGCAAACACCCCGTACTTCCTGCCTCCGCTAGTCAGTAAGCCCTGAGCACCACCCAGCTCTCCTCCACCTGGCCTCAGTCGTCTCTCCCCATGACAGATACTTCCAGCCTCCTCCACGCTCCTCAGGCCTGTGGTCTTCCCACCTTCCTTTCACACCTCGGCCTGACTAAATCCAAGGCATCTTTAGGTCTTAGCAGAAATGGTGCTTCTTTAGAGGAGTCTGCCTTGACCCCCTAACCGGCCAGAGCACCCTTTCTGGCCTCAGTTCCCCTTATGTTTCACCCTTGTAGCAGTCCTAGCTATTGTCATCCCATGAGGTGACTTAAACACCTGTGTTTGGCCTCCCCTGTGGGCTGTGAGCCTGGGAGGTCATAGGTCACTCACCACTGAGGCCGCCACACTGTAGGTTCTCTGGGGTTGAATGGATGGAGGCTGCTTCTCATGTAGGTGCTGAGGGGCCTGAGCTCAGGTGCTCTGTGCTGATGACACCCAGTTCTCACCTCCCAGTCCGCACAGGCTGAGGGATGTACCTGCTTGGCACCCAGGCAGTATCTGGGCTTGTGTTCTGCAGGTGATGGAGGATGCATGGTCTGCAGGGGGTGGGTGCAGGTTGCACGAGAAAGACATGAGGCCCCTGTGTGTTGTCCTGCTGCCTCCACAGTGACAGCAAATGGGCCGGGAGCTGGGCTCAGGTGGATCCTTGTTACACGTTGTTAACTCATCAAATCGGCCCTAACTCATGGTGACCCCGTGCACAATAGAACAAAACACTGCCTGGCCTTGCACCATTCCCATGACTGGTTGCGGATTGAACAATATTACATTGTCATCCACAGGGTTTTTATTGACTAATTTTCAGAAGTAGATAGCCAGGCCTTTCTTCCTAGTCTGCCCTAGTCTGGAAGCTCCGCTGAAACCTGTTCAGTGTCATAGCAACACACAAGCCTCCACTGACAGATGGGTGGTGGCCGCGCATGAGGTGCATTGGCTGGGAATGGAACCTGGGTCTCTCATGCCATGCTTGTCTTGGCAAGATCCTCAGGAGTCCTGGGCCCTCTGTTAGCCAGTGCTGCAAGCAGCCTGGGTGTAAATTAAGTGTGTAATGGTTGTTTTTTCCCTCCTACCTTGTTTGGTCCCTCTCCCACCCCCACCCCAGGGCCACTATCTGCATCACCCTTGCCACACCTGCCCTCGCAGAAGCCCTGAATGTGTCTGCGTGGCGCTTTGTGAAAAGGACCCAGGGAACAGCCCTGCTCACCAGCCGCAGTGGCTCCCAAGGCCCTCAAGGTCATAGCCGTGATCTTACAGCTGGAGCTGACAAAGGCCTTCAGACTCCTCGCTGTCTTGCTGAGATCTGAATTTAGACACCACCTCCTCCGAGACAGCTCTCTTGCCCCCTGGCCCTTCACACCTGCCTCCTGGGGGTTACCCCCACCCAACATTTATAGCACTTAATTGTAACCGTCCCCCTTTCCGCCCACCTACCCCATCAGACTGTCAGCCCCTCGAGGGGAGGAACTGCGTTTGTCTCTTTCTCTTCAGCCTAAATCCTGAGTCTGGGGCTTGTAACTTAGTTGATCCTCTGGGAATAGTCGAATGAGTGAGTGAATGAATGGATGAAAGCGAGTGAGAGATCAAGGTTGTGTGTGCATGTAGTGATCAGGGCAGTTCTTTATAACCTATAAAGCACCGTATACATGAAATCTATTGTTACTAATAGTTCTTCCTTCAAAGGGTTTACGGATTCCAGGTTAAAGAACTTACCATGGGATCCGGCCCACAGGAAGTGTTCACAAATACAAGTGCTATTATTTGGGAATATTCCATGTGCTGGGCACTGCTCACAGTTTCTTTCTCACGGTGCATATTTCATCCAAGTCAGTGAGTGCTCTGCTTGTGCAGATCCTTACAAAACCCCACAGGAAGCCGTGACAGGAACGCTTGTTCTCCTTGCTTTCCTGATGGGGAAGTAAGGCTCAGAGACGCCATGTACTTGACCCCGGGTCAAACAGCTAATAAGTGGAGGAGGTTGGATTTGAACTCGATGCCATAGCTCCAGGCTTCTTGCTCTTTGTTGCTGAGGCCCTGCTGTCCAGAAGCTGAGGTGGCCATATCCTCAGAGGACCTCAGGGCCCCCTCTTTGCAGTCTGAGGGCCCTCCACCCTTAATGCCCCAGAGGGGGAGCATTGTAATTCCCATCGGTGCAGCCCCAGCCATCATCGCCGCCTGGAAGTCGCTGCTGTGAGGTTAGTGTCAGCTGCAGGCAGTGATGGCCCACCAGGCCCTCAGGAAGGAGGTGACTGACCACAGCCTCTTATGCAAACAGGCCTGCAGGAAGGGCCTCCTCCCAGCCTCCCAGAACTGCTTTGCCTAATCCTCCACCCTTGAGGGCCTGCAGAAGGGCAAGTTGGCAGCTTTTTGTGGTCCCCCTGGTATTTCCTGCTCATCCTCCCAGGACAGAGGGGCTCACATTCCTGGGCTGCAGTCTGGTCTCTAATGCCATCCCCATTCTTCCAGGGGCTTCCTGTGTGGCCCCAGGCCAGGCCATCAACCTCTCTGATCTGCCAGCACAGCCAGGAGTGCAATGCAATGGATTGTTTCTACATGGCCTTTCTAGTCATGGTCTCGTAACTCCCACCAAATGATTGGGTGGGACTATGCAGATAAGATGCTTGTGGCCCACCAAGGGATTAGACAGCTTACTAGTAATGCAAATAAGGTGCATGGCACCCTTGTCAGGGTGGGACCAAGCAAATAAGGTGTATGGAACCCTAACAAGGGGATTGGTTAGTTTTACCATCCGCTAGGCTTAAAAGAGCCATTCTCAGAGCAGAGGGGGCCCTCACTACAACTAAGAAAGAAGAAATAGGAGCAGAGTGTGTCCTTTGGACTGGGGTCCCTGTGCTGAGAACCTCCTAGACCCAGGAGACAGAGAACTGTAACACCGGAGACAGCGCAGTATAGTGAGAAGCAGGGGCAGAGAAACGATGACAGCAGAACCAGGAGTCCAGCATGAGAGAGCTGAGTGCCTTCGGGCTGAGGCTTCTTGGCAGGGTGGAGTGCCTCTGAGCACTTAGTGGAAGAGCTAAAGAGCTTTGTAGTACTTGCCTGAGCAGGGCAGAGGACAGGCCAAGGGGCCAAGAGCCAGAGAGAGACCTTCCTGTGGGCATGGCTAAGAAGAGGCTGTCCTGATCCAAGGCCTGTATTCTGAGTCTTTCCTGATCCTGAATTGTAACCTGTTACTTCCCTAATAAATCCCGTAACTGTGAGTATGGTTTGTGAGTTCTATGTGGCCACTGCAACGAATTATGGAACCCAGAAGAGAAGTCGAGAGGGCCGTGGGAGGGATGGCTGGTGTCAGAAGTGGTAAAAAGGTTGGAGCAGGGAGGCATATCTGACCTCCGCCCTCTAGGAATCAGCCTTGGGTTGTTGATGCTAATAGTGATTCTCTGTCCTTCCCCTTGTGAAGTTAGATGAGGAGGTCAGACACCTCCACCACGCCATTTCTGCAAGGAGGCTGTCCAGGGACCACTGGGCTTTGCTGGGATTTCCGAGTATGAAAAGGATTCATTTCTTCAGTGGTTAGAGGCTTCTTCAAGAAAGCTAACTTGCATGTGGGGAAGCCTCACTCCCATGAGAAAGACGTGGACCCACATTTCCTAGAGCAAGCGCCTGCACTCTGTCTGTAATGGATGTTGGGGTGAAGCACTTCTGCCCCTCCCCCTCGGAGGGCCGTGGTGCCCACAAGCTTACTAGGATCCCACAGGGTGACTTCCAAAGTCCTGGAGTGCAAAAGGCCCTTAGAAGGAACCATTCAAACCTGCAAGCTGTACATAGAGACTAATAAGTTTTATAAGTTGCATTTTAACATTTAAAGATTTGTGTTTCTGAATTCGTGACTATAATAGATTTGAATCTGTCATTGATGGGTGCCATCGAGTCAATTCCGACTCATAGCAACGCCATGTGACAGAAAAACGGCCTC